GGAAATCGGGGGTATGCGGGGTGCTGGTGGTGCATATTATCTCCATCCGGCATCCCTCCAGCCAGGAGCTGGGCGGGACGCTGGCCAGAGCATCACAGGTTGCTAACATCTCAACCTGGAATGAACTGGCCAGAAAGGGGGCGGAAGGCACACCTTGCATTCCCCCCACATGTCCCTAAGAGTTGCCCCCTGAGGCAACCGCTTAGGCTGCCTCATTATAGGGACATCCCTGTGTACTATATACAGGAAAGTGGGAGAACTGTGTTTATATTTCTGCTTATAATCGGGTTATAGCAGGACATGACATCATAGTGACATCATAGGGGTGGTACTTGGTCTCTCTGGTGTATAGTTCATTATATAAATCTGTCTCTTATGTTGTACAAATGTAACTATGTCACCCTGATGAAGGGACCCTGCATGGCCTTGAAACACTGGCTTTGGCTATGATGATGCATGTGACGCATGTTCAGTAAAGTGGAATGAAAAATTCACACTTTGAACTTTGTGAGTGCTGGCGATCTTCTATTCGACCCCTTATTGGAGACACACAGCAAAAAACAAACAAACAAGGATTTCAACATTTCCTAACTTTATATTTAAAAGATTTTTGGTCCCCTATCTTGGCATTAACCTTACCTGTTCCTTTGATGGCCTTTATCGCGCTATCCCCCCCCTTTTTAAGAAACTGTGGGAGGATTTGGACAGGTGGTCCTCATATAACCTCTCCTGTTTTGGGAAAACACATGCTATAAACATGACTCTCATGCCGTGCCTGTAATATTTTTTTAGAGTTGCCTATACGTATTCCTCGATCTGACTTAGTATCCTTTTAATCTGCATTGATTTCCTTTATCTGGGGTTTGTAAAGGACACAGACTGCCCAGAACTACTTTATATAGCCCTAAAGCTTCAGGAGGTTTAGGTGTTCCCAATCTAATGAATTATTACCGGGCCTCATGCTTAGCTCAATTATCCTCCATATATTATGCTGTTGATCTTCCGGAATGGGCTCTCATAGAATGTCATGCTGCAGGTGATTTGCCCTTAGATCTCCTGAAATGGCTGCCTCCTAGACAACATCCAGTTGTTTTGGCTCCTATTCACTCTTATTCTTTGGCACTTTGGGATAGGGTATGATCCTCCTGCACTATAACTTTGCCTCATACTCCCCTAGCCCCTCTCTTTCGTAATCCAACCTTTCCACCTGGCTCTCACCCTCAGTTATTTCATTGGTGGCAGGATAAAAGGCTCTACATAATTGGCCATTATTTTAAGTCTGGAAAACCACTGACATTAGCTTACTGCAGAGAGCGACTGAGCATGCCTCCTTCTGAATTATTTAGATTTTTTGCAAATATCTCATTTTCTACACACTCTAATTTTACATAGGGATACGCCCCCATCTTAAGCACTATGAATGCTGGTGCTGCCAGTCTACTGGCCAGCGAGGGGCCATCACATTGATATATTACCTCCTGCTGAATTGCCCTGCCAAACAACCTTATATGTTGGCTTGGGAATCTAATTTGGGTGTTACTGTCTCTGAGGACATTTGGAGTTGTCGCTGTCTGGTCGCTTCTCAAGGTATGCTTAATGTTTCTTTACTTGAAGCTAATTATAAGGATATTTCCAGGTGGTACTTGGTTCCTGCGAGGCTAGCCTCTATGTATCCAAACTCCTCCCCTTTATGCTTTCGTGGATGTGAACTTAGAGGTAACATGCATCATATGTGGTGGTCCTGCCCTAGGGTTTGTCGTTTTTGTCCCAAGTCTTCAACCTTGTATACATAGTCACTGGGGTTTGTGTACCCAGGGATCCCAGGTTTGCTCTTTTGAACGATAGTGTGTATGCTATTTCAAAGCATTGCAACAAGTTAATCTCTTTAATGTTCTTGGCTGCTAAGATTGCGATTGCTGGGGGTTGGAAAACCCCTAGGGTATCCCTAATGGTGGTGAAAGCTAAATTATCCTGGATAATGACCCATGGACAATTATTCAGTATAATCCTTGATAAGCAGTCACACTTTGAGCTTATCTGGGATCCTTGGCAGAAGTATATCAATCTGGAATCTGTCACATAACTCTTGATTTGGTGCCTGGTTTAGTCCTACCCATTATCTGACCCTGCCTCCTTTCTTCTCACTCTCTTTTCTTTCCCTTCATTCGTATCTGGTAGTGCATCCATACTTTTTGTTTAAGCCTCAAGTTTCCCATCGTTCTACGTGCAATTGCAGTATGCCTCTGACCTCTGTGTTGGATTGAAATAGTTACTTTTTCTCGCAATTCTTATGCTACATTCTACAGATTGCATAAATTACCTTCAATGCATGGCCGGATTGCTCACAAGGCCAACCAAGGCCCGGCCTTGGGGCAGCAGGGAGTAGAGGGGCAGCAGGGGGGTTGAATTCCTATCTTCCTATGCCTGGGACATGCAGTTCTGGGCAGGTAGCTGTTTTCTATATTTAGCCCTGCTTTCGGCAAGCAGAGCTAAATGTACAGCAGGGAAGCAGCCGCTTTTTTTTTGTACAAGTGATCCCGGCAATGCCGCCGAGATCACTTGTATGCTGTCTGCAGCTCTGCCATTCTCCATGGAGGGGTTGGCAGGTAGGGGGGCTCATTATTGAGGAACCTGGCCTTGGGGCAGCAGAGAGAGTAAATGCTTCTACATTCATGTATTATGACTGAATTTAATTTGGGAGTTCCATATGCCCTTTCTCCTGTATGGACTGTGCTATTTTTTTAGTTTTGTCTCTTTGTATTGTTTGCCTTGGAAATCCTAATAAAAAATCTTTGCATTCTAAACAAAGTTTTGGTTTTAGATAGACTTTTTCAAGTGACATTGTTGGTGCTTGAACCACCACACATTTTTACGGCTGCACAGCTTCCAAACCCTTAGGCTAAATATGTACTGTAAATGCATGTGCTTCATGCATATTGCATCAAAAATTATGTAACTATGGTTTATGTGTGACAAGAACATGTTCATTTTCTTAAAATTCTGGCACTATAAGGTGTTCGTATTTCCGAGCTTTGTGTTATTATCGACTGTGGTCTGTTTGGAACATCTGCAGCGTTGGTGACCTCTGCTGACTTAGCTTTTCACTGTTTGCTATATTTTACCTGTCTTCACACATTTATGCCAGGTTTCCACCTCTTTGAATTACTCACCTGCAGAAAATGGTATAAAAGCTTCGTTCTTAGCAAAATTTCCCTCCGAGTCCAGAAAGTGCTGAGGGTAAAACTCTTCCGGCCTCTCAAAGTGCTCTTTGTCTCGTAGGACAGAATAGAGTAATGGAATTACGTGCGTTCCCTGCAAGGAACACAAGTTAGATTTTTGGATTACTCATAACTTAGCAGTTGGGCAAATGAAACTTGTATTTACTGTAGGTGTATTCAGACTGGGATGCCTCTGAGTTCCTACACAGGTGCTTGTGACCTGAAGGTGACATCCTTCTGACCTGAAGTTGATTATCTTTCTGACCAAAGTTGACCTACTTCTGTCGTGAAGTTGACCTCCTTCTGACCTGAAGTTGACCTCCTTCTGACCTGAATTTGACCACCATCTGACCTGAAGTTGACTTCCTTCTGACCGGAAGTTGACTTCCTTCTGACCGGAAGTTGACTTCCTTCTGACCTGAAGTTGACCACCATCTGACCTGAAGTTGACTTCCTTATGACCTGAAGTTGACCACCATCTGACCTGAAGTTGACTTCCTTATGACCTGAAGTTGACCACCATCTGACCTGAAGTTGACCACCATCTGACCTGAATTTGACCACCATCTGACCTAAAGTTGACCACCATCTGACCTAATTGAGTTGAGCTCCTTCTGACTTGCATTTGATCTTATTCTGACCTGCATCTGACCTACTTCTAAGCTACATCAACCTGTGGTCTATCTGGCGGTGGATTCTCATTTTTAAGGTGGTGGGTTGAATAGGGATGAATGCTATTTGCGATGGATGCTGTGGGGGTGGCTGTTGATGCTCGTTATTGCCTCTGCCTGGCGCACTGCCCAGCTCACTGACATCTCTGGTTGCCAACATCAATGAGCTGGGCTGGAAGCTAGCCAGAGCATCACAGGTTGCTAAGAGCTCTTAGTAACCTGTGATGCTTTGGCCAGCAATGGGGCATGTCTGTGCCCCCCCCCCCACCCATGTGACCCAATGAGATGCCACCTGAGGCAACCAGCTCATACTGTCTCATTATAGAGACAGCCCTGCACAGAACTTTTAAAGAGTCAGTCCATTCATTTATTTACCCATTATTAGTTCTTATTCATAGGCTTCTCTCAAAGTCTGTTTCTATTCGTAATTTTAACATTCTTTTCAATATCTATTACTAGGGATGCACCGATACCGATACTAGTGCCGATATCGGTGCCAACACCAAGTATGTGGGCGAGTACTCGTACTCGCCCAAATGCTCCGATGCCTAGCACGAGTACTTCCTGTATCAGGAAGCCGGGCAGCGTGTAATGACGAGCTGCCCGGCTTCCTGATACAGGAAATACTCGTGCTAGGTTTCCTGATTAGCCTGGAAGCTCTCTCATCACTTGTGACGAGAGAGCATGGAGCGACTTCCCGGCCAATCAGGTAGCTGGGCAGCGTGTAATGACGCGCTGCCCGGCTTCCTGATTGGTCGAAAAGCTGGCCAAACAGGAAGCCGGGCGCCGTGTAATGGCGCAGCACCCGGCATTCTGATTGGCCCGGGAAGCTGGCTTCATGCTCCCTCGTCATCTCATGACGAGGGAGCAAGGAGTCGGCCTCCCAGTCAATCAGAAAGCAGGGCGTTGCGTCATTACATGGCGCACGGCTTCCTGATTGGCCGGCCAGAGGGCTCCGGCTGGGTACCGGAGGAAGGTTGCATTCTGGCTGGAGAGGCCCCGGGGGTGACAGGCTGGACATACAAAGGTAAGAGGGGACTTTCTTGTTAATCGGGAAGCCGAGTGGCGAGTCATTACAAGCCACCTGGCTTCCTGAATGGGACTTCCGTTTCTCGGTAATTGGTATCGGCCGAGTACCGGAAAAAAAAACTATCGGTACTCGTACTCTGTACCAAAATACCGGTATCGGTGCCTCCCTATCTATTGCCATTTATATCAATAATTACCATCAGTATACAGCCCAAATTATGACATCAGTATACTAGATGATAATTTTTTAATTTTAGCATTTTTATGATTATTATTATAATTTTTGATACAACTAGTATTGTACTATTTCACCTTTTTGTGCGTTGATTGGCATCTGTAGTGCATTGATTATTGCATCAATTTACGATACTACCACCGCATAGTCATACTGTATCGCTAATACCAATTTATCTTCCCCTATTTTCATCTACGGTATGTTATGTGTGAGACTTTGTGTGTTTTTTTCAATGAGGTAACATTAAGCCGCTGGGTTGTCTCCTGGTTGGGTGCCGGCTCCTCGGATCTGTTGTGACGAGTAGCCGACATGCCAGTGTATTCAACGTTCCAGCAATGTGCCATTGCCTCTGCCTTGCAAAAAATTAAGCTTTTTATATTTGATTTATAATTATTCAATGCCATTGGTGCTTAATTTATCTGGAGTGTTCTCATGTATAATTATTCATTCATTGTGCAGGCGTCTTCAGCTGTGGAGATCAGGCATTTGCCTTGATGACGCCCTCTCAGCTTTGATTGGGCATTTTGACAGGGAGGAAGTATCTAGTAATAGAATGCTTTCCCTTGATTGGTCAGCTTTCAATCCCATTGTGGCTTGTGATCGAACACTCGTTATAAATTTGCACCAAGCTAGTTGAGCCGTTCAGGTCTGAGGAAGGGTAAACTTGTTCAGCTGAGTAAGCTTGTTTCTGCTGGTCTAGCAGCATATTTGGATTGTTTCTCTGACTGTTAGGAATCTGCATGTATCCTGAGATTTATGTCCAACACACTTTTTATCCACTTCTTTTGTGAGTACCATTTATCACTTTTAATCTTTCTAAACAAATAAAAGGATTATTTGCACCAGGAAAGGCGCCTGGTGTTTCTTTTTTATGGTCAGTCCATTCAAATCTGACCTTTCTTCTAGTGGAATTACCGGTCTGTCACTGGTGTATATTAATTGGTAGGGTTTATTCAGTTGTTATCACATTGCCTGATGAAGGGACTTTGCGTGGTCGTGAAACAATGCTTTATTTTGTAATATGGTGAACGATATACATCAATAAAGGCATTTTTGAAGAAAGGATGGTGTGTTGGTAACTTATCTTCTATGTATACATTTCAATGACTCAGATTACAGTACATCTCCTTGCTGAAGTTTCTAAAGGTTCTTCTGCATTGAGATCACACTTATCCTGCTGTAGCATGGATTGGTCCACTTCTCTTACTATATTATCCCCCCAAAAAATCCAGGGAATGTGAACTCCCTTGTAAATAGACATGTAAAGGCTCAAAAAAGTATTTTTGTTTCGTCTCACATAGAATCAAATGTATATTTTTCAGATTTCGGATCCAAAATCAGTTCCTTATTCGGATCAATTTGAATTTTTTGTTTTCAGTTCGGATAAAACAATTTTTTTTGTTTTTTTGGTTTGGATCTATTCAGATCAATACAGATGAAGTACTTTAATTAAAAATTAGCTTAATTTTATTTTGGGGGGTTGATCATTTTAGTATGTAATAGTCATCTAATTCCATTCTGGTCATCTTAGTCCACACTAGTCCAGTCATCTTAGCCTGTACCAGTCATCTTAGTCCGTACCGGTCCTCTTAGTGCGTACCGGTCCTCTTGGTCCGTACCGGTCCTCTTGGTCCGTACCGGTCCTCTTGGTGCGTACCGGTCCTCTTGGTGCTTACCGGTCCTCTTGGTGCGTACCGGTCCTCTTGGCGCGTACCGGTCCTCTTGGTGCGTACCGGTCCTCTTAGTCCGTACCGGTCCTCTTAGTCCATACTGGTGATTTTAGTCCATACTGATCATCTTAGTCTGAACTGATCATCTTAGTCTGAACTGATCATCTTAGTCTGATCATCTTAGTCAAGATCATTTTCGTCTGAACTGGTCATTTTAGTCTGAACTGGTCATCTTAGTCCGTACTGGCCATTAGAGTCAGAAATTCAGCTGAATTTCGGGAAAAAGAATTGGAATTCGTTCAAATTCGGATGAATTTGGGTTCGGAAATTTGGATGCATCCTAAATTTTGCATACATTTGAATTTGGAAATGTCCAAATTTAAAGAAATTAGTCAGAATTTCAGTTCGGAATGAACCAAAACTTACATGTCCACTTGTAATGGCTGTGCTCAGTTGAAGGAGCTCTGATCTCAAATGCATATATCTCATCACCAGAGATGCCTGACAGATACAAGACATCAATGTGTAATGTGTAATCGAGCTGTCAAGAAGATATCTCCCAAAATAAAGGACTGATGTGGACCTGTATACAGGCAACTAGAGTCTGCTGCTGAAAATAAATAACATGCATCAAATGTATTTATAATACATAAAATGCAATACTTACTTTGGGTATAAAGAACCCTTTGAAAGTCACATCTTTGGTAGTGGCATGTGGAAGGTTGGTTGGCACAACGTTGCCAAACCTTTGGATTTCATGGATGACGGCATCAGTATACGGCATCAGTTTCCTATGCATCACCTGAGGTTCCCCCAAGCCAATTACTTTTTCAATTTCATTCTGAATGTTTTCTGTCATTGAGAAAAAGACAATTATAATATTACTTACATTTTATATAGTCCTAATAAAGAGTTAATTAAACCAAATTGCAAGAATACATTTGTTTTGCATGCTACTATTAACATGTTTAAAATGTGCAGGTTCCAGGACTGTCATCCTCGTTATTGTATAAGTACCTAAAGCATCACTGACCCAGAACATGTATGCAAAGAAGTCAGAAATTAGGGGTCTATTTATAAACAATTTGCAGAGCAATTGTTATGGTGACACCCCTGGCAGGTGACACGTGCTTATCTGTGGGGTGGAGTCTAAGCACCAGCCGGTGTTCACCAGAGCTCCTGATGGTGGAGATTGGCTAGGCTGCTTACTGGTACCAGGGTCCCCAGGGTTGCCCTGCGAAGGGATGGACGAGAATAGGAGGGCTCCAATGAGGAGACAGTAGTCAGAAACAGGGAGAGTTCAAGGCAGGAGGCTAGCAAAGGGTGGTTGGGCAGTCCAAGGTTGGCAACTAGCAATCAGTAGATAAACGCAGGGGACAAGAGCAAAGTCGGGTCCAGGCAGAAGATCAGGACGGGCAACAAGCCAAGAAGGGTCAGGCAGTCCGGGTCAGCAAAGAGAAAACAGCAGAAGTATCAGCTCTTTCACAAACAGGAAGCTGGCAAAAAGACACAGCACCAGCTCCTTGCAGAGCTAGTGCTTAAAGGAGAACTATGGGGGTCAGTGTTTTTCCCCATAGTTCTCCTTAGGGTAATGGGAGGACACAAACTAGCGTCCTCCCGTTGCCCTAAGCTCAGTATACCGCGAGCTACAGCTCGCGGTATACTGAGACGCCAGAGCGGATCCCGACTTAGACAACGGGATCCGCCCAGCTGCGTGAGTGACAGCTGGCTCTGCCTATCTAGAGGCAGAGCCAGCTGTACCCGCCCCCTCCCCTGTCCGTTCCGCCAGTCAGCGCTGGCAGATCGGAGCGGGGAGAGGGGAATCCAGCCCCTCCCCCTGTCCCGGCAGAGAGCCGTGACAGGATCGAGAGGTGAGCGAATGCCGTTATGTGTTCGCTCACCTCCCGATCTACTGAGCCGACCTGTGACAGTGTCATTGTCACAGGTCGGCTAGAACTATGAGGTGAGTGGAAATCACTCATCTCATAGTTCTCCTTTAAATACCCCTCTGAATCAGAGGCGACACGCCCAGCCTCAGGGTACACTGGAAGTCCTGGTCTGGACTCTGTTACTATTATCAGCCATACTGGCCCGGACCCTGTGAGATCCATTAGCAGCGGATCTTCTGGAAATCCTGGCTGGGATTCTCAGAGTAGAATGGTAAACCCTGACAGGTACTCTGAGCTTACCATAACAGCAATTCGCCCTGTGAATCTCTATGGATGTTTGTTCTGTACAAATGGAGGCAAGGACAAATGTTCTACAGTATATATACTGTAGCCCCCATCACCTTTTGAGAGGTGGCTACTAGAAATTTAGCGATTGCCAGAACTGTAGTCAGTCTGTCTAGTAAGGTGGAATATTTGTGGAAGGTTAATAGGAAGCCAACGCATTTCGCGGATCTGCAGTTCCTTCCTCAGAGCTGGCTATCAAGAATGGCAAAGAAAAATATACCTAGTGTTGACATCTGGCCTTGCATCCGGCTGCGCTGGCGTTCTCTGGATCCAGTGTCCTCTCAATGTTCCTGAACGGTTCTTTAATTTTTTTTACTCTGGGTCCAGGAAATGACAGCATACCCTTGCACTCGGTGGATACTGAGCCGTTTTTCATTGCTATTTTAAGTAACCTCTGGGCTCGATCTGGCACACACTTCTCGGGTTTGGGGGGAGTGGAGGGGATTCTGTGTGTGGGACTGTTATGTTTTAATTACTTGTTGTATTAAGTATGTACCCCTCTCCAGCACTCCAGCCATGACAGGTTACACAGTGGGGAGGTTTTCCATGCCGTGTAACCTGTAACAAGCCGCTCTGAATGGAGAAAAATCTTTTTCCTCTATAATACTAGGTGAGGCTATGCCTCCCCTGCTCAGTACACAGGCGAAACGCTTATATGGCAGCAGTTGTACCAGCTTATTACACAGCCCCCTGACACAGCAGAGCTAGATGAATTATACCACTTATGTTTAAGAAATACATTTGGGTCCTCTCTGAATGGACAGCAGCAAACTGATAAGGTCATCCCTCTTCTCACTCTGCTCTCTCCTCCTATCAACATGTTCCATACTTACACCAGCTGCACTAAAATTATATTTATAGGGTTATTCACTAAGCTGCTGAAAAATTTAGCCAAACGTTTTCGGTTAATCCTTCGGCTCGATTTGTCTGCAGAAACCCTTCAGTTTAGTTGAACTGAAGGGCTGCTGTACGGGCTATTCACAATAGCCCGTACAGCAGCAGAAGTACATAGCCGAGCCGAACGCATGTGTCGTAGCTGGGAGAACAGTGCCTGACAGGGATTATTTTATATCTGAGTGGGGTTCAGCTTCTTTCAGGTCAAGGTGACAGTATTTCTGCTGTGCCCATTATGAGGGGTTCCCACCATCCCTGAGCTGAGTTTCCGGGTCAGTACACCCGCTGTGCTCATTATGAGGGGCTCCCACCATCCCTGCGCTGAGTCCCCGGGTCAGTACACCTGCTGTGCTCATTATGAGGGGCTCCCACCATCCCTGCGCTGAGTCCCCGGGTCAGTACACCTGCTGTGCTCATTATGAGGGGCTCCCACCATCCCTGCGCTGAGTCCCCGGGTCAGTACACCTGCTGTGCTCATTATGAGGGGCTCCCACCATCCCTGTGCTGAGTTTCCGGGTCAGTACACTTGCTGTGCTCATTATGAGGTGCTCCCACCATCCCTGCGCTGAGTCCCCAGAGCCTGACTCCTATAGAATCACCTTACCTAAACTCCATTGCAACTCCTTGCTCCTCCACAGCCAGAGAGTACCCAGTTATCTGGGTATTGAGGAGAATGGGACCTGCTCCCCCGTGATGGTGCCTGGGTCTATCAGCCAATCACTAGACCTGAGTACTGTCACATGACCAAGGGAGTGATGACCTCCTGGGTTGCCAACACTGCCAATATTAGCGCTAGCTGCAGAAGATCAAGGAGTGGCATGGAAGCATAGGTAAGATGGGTATAAATGGGTCAGGGGATGCCATTTCCAGCAGAGATAATGTCACCTTGCCCTGAAAGGCTATGGTGACAATGTCTTTTTGAAGTGCAGCAACCCATTTCAACCAATTAGTATTTATCTTGTATCGGTTTAACTTCAGCAGAATGAATTCTCAGTTGCTGCTATAGTTACTTCAACACAAACACTTAAAGGAGAACTATAGTGAAAATCACTCAGCCTCATAGTTCAAGCCGACGTGTGACAATGAAACTGTCACACGTCGGCTCAAAAGATCAGAAAGTGAGCGAACACATACCGTCGCTCGCTCACTTCTCGATCCTGTCCCTGCAGAGAGCCGTGACTGTCAATCACGGCTCCTTGCAGGGATTCCCCCTCCCCACTCCGATCCTCCAGCGCTAGATAGGCGGAGCCAGCTGTCATTCATGCAGCTGGGTAGATCTCGGCGGTAATGTCTCAGTATACCGCGAGCTGTAGTTCGCGATATACTGAGCTTTGGGTCACGGAAGGATGCTAGTATATGTCATCCTGTGACCCTGAAGAGAACTATGGGGAAAAACACTTACCCCATAGTTCTCCTTTAAAGCTGAACTCCAGGGGAACGCTGTACTATATAAGCTGAGCAAAACAATTAGCACCCAATTGTAGACTTCCTGTGGTCAGAGTGGTCATTAGGTCATGAGATAATTGAGGTGAATGGATAGAACCTTCATCATACTTAAATAAAACAGATCACTTACTCTGGATTTCTGGGTACTTCATCATTAGCAGAAGACTCCATTGGAGGGTGGAGGAAGTCGTATCCATCCCAGCAGCGAACAAGTCCGTAATAAGAGATGTCAAATTTGCGTCGCTGAAAAATATCTCTGGATTTGGCTTTTCCTGAAATTCAGACAATTAACCACTTGCTGACCAGGGTGTTAAACCCCCTTCCTGTCCCGACCATTTTTCAATGTTCAGCGCTGCAGTACTTTGACTGACATTTATTCCGTCATGCAACGCTGTACTGAAACTAATTTGTATGGATGCACCGATATATCAGTTATTTAGCCAAAAGTGCCATTTTCCTGCCGATACATCGGCGCATCCCAGTTGTCTTTCCTCCCCGCTGGGCGCTGCTCTGTGTCCCAGTGGGGAGGAGAGAAACTGTCACAGTCGGCCTAGCGCTGCGGGAGGAGAGCGCTGTGAGCGGCCGGCCCCTCTCCTCCCACACCTCTCAGCCTCCTATCACAGTCCGGCAGAGCGGTGTGTGGGCGGAGACAGCCCGCGCTGTCATAGGAGGCTGAGCTCTCCTCTCGCACTGCTCGCCCAGCCTCCTGTGACAGCGTGTCAGAGAGGAGAGCGGGTACAAGCAGTCAGTGATCACTGAGTGTTTGTAGATAATTGAGGAAAAAGTTTGTTTACTATATCCTCAATTATGAATGAATTAGGGCTGTGGAAATTTGGATCGATTAAAATTATTTTGATCGCTAATGAAAACACTCACCTCTCCGCCGGCTTCCGGGAGTCTCGTCGGCGATCCGGTGACGTCACGGACATCGACGTCACCGGACTCCTCCCCCCTTCCCCAAGTGGCTCCATCGGCTAACGAAGGGAAGGGGGAGGAGTCCGGAGACTTCGATGTCCGTGATGGCTAACGAAGGGGGGAGAAGTCCGGTGACGTTGATGTCCGTGACGTCACCGGACTCCCCCCCCCTTCGTTAGCTGACGGAGCCACTTGGGCCAGTGAGTTTGCCCAAGAAACTTTCTGCACGAGCGCCAGCCAAGGCAATGGCCTAAATACATACAGCACAGCAATGAAGTCATACAATGAACTAGGATCACACAAATCCAGCACGTTGTTATTCTGAGTTGCCCCTCTCAAGCGGCGGCCATATTGAGTGGGGCACGTGAGATTAATAACGTGCTGGATTAGTGTGATCCTAGTTCATTTTATTACTTCATTGCTGTGCTGTATGTGTATAGGCCAATGTAGTTGGATCTGCATGTGCGTTATAATTAATCGAAATTAATCGATTAATCTATTTTTAAAAATTTCGATTAATCCAACACGAACATTTTAATCATTACCAGCCCTAGAATGAATGGGAAGTGATCTACATCACCTCCTGTGCATTCATGATTGTGGTTATAGTAACCATACTATGTCCTCATCGTATGAAAAAACAGGAACACTCAGTATAGAGGATTCCTGTTAATTGATAACAGGGGATACAGAAAAAGAGATTGAAGACTTTGTGTTATCAAACTCTTTTTGCAATTTAAAATGGAAATATAAGGGGTCTGTTTAGACCCCTAATATTTCCCAGAAGCCCCTAAAAGTAAAGTAAGAATACAAATATTTAATAAAAAATGAATTAATAAATAAAAATTAAAAAGGTTTATAAAAAATAAATAAAAATTAAATATTTTAAAAAATTAAAAAAAATTAAAATAAAAACATTTTCGGTTTCAGCCTGACAATTTTTTTTAATTTCGGTTTCGTTTTTTACATTTCTATTTTGGTGCACCTCTACTAATTTGATACCATTTTTTGGGGGCACATATTCATACTGTTTAGGTTGGTTAGAGGAATCAACTGTTTTTTTTAGTCCAGCCCTGCAGCTAAAAAAAAAAACAAGTGAATGCTCACCTTTAGAGTCAGTATCTATCTTCAATTAAGCTCCACCTTTTATTCCTACTAAGAAGTCTGGCAAGATATTAAAGACACAGTTCCCTTATATAAAATGACATATACCTCCTTTTGTTTGACAAGGAAGGCATCGACGACAGTTCTCTGGTCATTGACATCCAGCTGATTCCTCTGGCTGGTGAAGGTTTCTCTGATAAAGGCGTGCAACTCCTTCAAATTCGGCATGATTTTTCTATGACTTCCAGGTAGCCATCGGACCAGAGATGGAAATGCATTGTACAGCTGAAAGAAAAAGTAAAAATATTAAACCTGACGTATTGGGAATAGTACAAGCGGTGATTTGTAAGCAGGTTCTGCAAACACAGAGAACACAAATAATAGGTCCACTTGCTGTTCGGAGCAATTTCTTACATTTGCGCACACATGATAAAGTCAGATTTTTTGGCTAGAAAAAAGCTTCAAACCCCCAAACAATGATATATGTTCTGAAAGCAAAGGCCCCGTAGAATAAAAAAATGCTAGTTGCAATTTTATATGTTGCACTGTATTTGCGCAAATATTTATCAAACCAGTAATTTTAGGAAAAAATTAACTAAATTAAAATTTAGTGCACAGAAACAGAATATAATTTACCCAATTTTTTGGTGAAATTTGTAAGACGGGGTCACGCCGGGTAAATAGATACCAAACATGTCAAACCTTAAAATTGCTTTCGCCCATGAAGCCGCAAAAACCGTCAATACCCAAAATTTCCCATAGGGAACATTTTAAACGCTTTTACATGTGTAGCACAATTGTCGTTTTCGCACGTAGGCGCATAAAAACGCATGTTTGTGTGTGTATGTGCGTGCACGTGGGGGGCGGGGGACTTTAAAAAATGTTTTTGCATTTTTTTAATGTTACTTTAATTTTTATAATTTTTAAACACTTTTTTTTTTTACACTAACCCTAATGCTATCACATAGGGGCTAACAAGCACCCTATGTAATAGCAGATAGGGTGTGACAGGTCCTCTTTATGGAGACATCAGGGGTCTTGCAGAGATCTGCTTCAAGAGCTTCTTCTCTGGCTCTAAGAGCCGGAGACTGTAACGAGTGACACCGGAAGTAATGTAATACACATCACTTCTGGGTCCAGTCATCGGAGGTGCAGCCGTGTTCTTGTTTTAACCACTTCTGCGGGCCGCCGTCTATAGATGCATTGCGGCCCGGAAGTGGTTAAATTCACTTCCCCTTTGAATAAACTAGAGGTGCACCGAAATAGAAATTTAAAAACCATATTTATTAATTAATTTTTTATTAAATATATATATGTTTTACTTTACTTTTAGGGGCTTCGGTGAAATATTTGGGGTCTAAACCCCTGATATTTTCCTTTTAAAGTAGAAAAAGAGATTGAGAACATAGAGTCCTCAATCTCTTTTTCTGTATCCCCTGTTATCAGTGAACAGGAATCCTCTATACTGAGTGCTCCTGATCATTCATAACATGAGGACAGAGTATGTTTACTACAACCACAACTATGAATGAACAGGAGGGGATTTAGCTCACTTCCCATTCATTCATAATTGAGGATAAAGTCGCTCTCCTATGTCACACTCTGTCACAGGCGGAGCAGGGTGGAGAGCCCAGCCTCCTGTGACAGTGCAGCCTGTCTCCGCCCTCACACCGCTTCTCTGCCGGAACGGTGATCGGCGGCTGAGCGGTCAGGGAGGAGAGACACGGCCGATCACATCGCTCTCCTCCCACAGCACTCAACCGGCTGTCACAGTTTCTCTCCTCCCTACTGGGACACAGACCAGCGGGCAGTAAAGAAACCTGGGAGTTGCTGATGTATCGGCAGGAAAATTGCACTTTCGGCATTTAGCCAAAAGTGCAATTTTCGGCCGATATGTTTTGGCGGCCGATATATCGGCGCATCCCTAGAATAAACCATTTTACATGTTCCCATGTTGAAATGCATTTTTCATATTCCATGAAAATGTTTGCACAGATGACAGATAAGAATACAGTAACAATAAAAGATCAAACATGTGTCAAAGCTTCAACACAAATGTAATCAAATTCCAGTTTATGTCCTTCCTTTAGCAACTCTTGAAGTCTACGTATGTATAAAATAATAATACCGAATCCAGGGGCGCTGATAGCGGGAGTCAGAAGGATACACATTTATTATATACTGTAGTTATTTAAAGTATAAAGTGACACTAAACTCAGGAGTTAAAACTTAAAGTGACATTAAACCCTCAGATGTTTTAACATAAAACAATACTGTAATGTGTGCCTTACTGTAATCCATGGCTGTTTCCCTTCTCTTTGCTGCTCTTCCTTTTAAATTTGTATCTCTTCTCATGCTGGGGGAGAACTTCCCTTTGCTGCCGAGTGCCTCTTCCTGTAGTGCTGGCTCAGGTTGTGAACCTACACACAGACGCCGTGTATCCATTCCAGAGACAAAGCAGTCTGCTGCAAAACAGAAGTTCTCCCCCAGCATGAGAACAGATACAGATTTAAAAGGAAGATCAGCAAAGAGAAGGGAAACAACCATGAATTACAGTGAGGCGCACATTACAGTATTGTTTTATGTTAAAAAATCTGAGGGTTTAATGTCACTTTAAATATACATGCAAGAACATTAACTATTAACAGTAATGTATCTTATTTGTGTATCACTCGGCTGTAGATCCTCCAATCATCCTTGAATTGGTGCTGACACTGTCCTTCCTTCTGGAGGGGGTCTACTTTTGTTCCCCATGGTCCTTGTGTGTGTTGTAAAGTAGTCACCACTCCAAGTTCACTCCCGGGATGGACTTCCTCAAGGTGGCCCCCCTCTGTGGAGGAGCAATGGAGCCACTCGTGTACAGCAGCTTTGTCACCCTGTGGGGAGGGTGGTGTTAGATGCTCTAGCACATTTAGATGGACTTGACTAACAAAGTAAATCCAAATTCCAGCAAACACTTTTCTATGGCATTTTTTTGCCTTTGAGATAAATGTTTTATATAAATTATTAAGAAGCTGACCACCATAACACAATGCC